CAATAAACATTTGAGATCTGTAACTTTATATTCATAACTTTATATCGTCGTTTCTAGAAGCAATTTCCCGATCCGATCAACAGCACGTTGATAGAAGCTAATCACAATGCTAATTATATTGACTTGTTTCTCGGCTCATCAAAGAGTTTTAGAATGTTTGTAACAAAACAATTTAATTAACAAATTTATTTAATTATATTATATTATTTATAATCTTAAGAAATTTATTTAATTATATTATATTATTTATAATCTGTATCTTCATCCTCAGAACATATAATAAATAAATATTTTTTATCTTTATCGAAAGTTTCGAAGAGTAAAAAAATTAAATTTCCAACAAAATACTTTTGGATTTTGAGGTTTCGAGGTTTTGAGTGACTCATTCCTAGTTAAGTTTATCGAATAGTTTTATTATTTCACTGAAAATATAAATTAAGAAGTAAGATATCAGTGTAAGATTACCTGTTAAGACAAATACTATGATCAAATCCATAGTGTAATATATAAGACAATTCCGATCTCATCCTAATAAATCCAAAAATGGAAAACAATGCAAGTAATGCATTCCATAAAATAAGTACACCTTTTAGTTCGAACCTTGGTCTGTTCAACATATAACGCTTTCCACTGAATATCAATGCGATGTAAATGGCACAGCAGTAAAAACATGTCGGATAATGATCCGTTATTGTTGGTAGAATATCCTGGTATGCGATGCTTTTTTCGAAATTGAAGACATACGAGTAATTCGGCACAATTTGTTCCACTTTGTTCATCTTGGACTATCTATTATTATTATTCTTTTTATTTCTTTGACGGTTAGCCTTTTCATCCACTCTATTAATTTATTGGAAGTAAAACAGAAAAATTAATGAATATAATTTTTTTAAATGTAAAGTAATAAACGATTATAAAAACATATATTTCACATATTTTAATAAAAAAAAAAAAAAACATGAAAATATAAAAAACCAAAAGGAAGTTGGTGAGGACATAGTAAATTCAAATTAATCAAGACAGAACAAAACGTCAGAATAATGTGATTTAATATGCTCAGAAGTAAAAATTTTCTGAGTTTTGAATGTCATTGATACGGTCAGTCATAAAAATTCACATATATTCGTCGAGTCTAAAATATTTAAAACAAAAAATGCAGTAGATATTTTATACATTTTGTGAATCTTAATTAACTTTTTTGCTTAAAATTAGATTTTTCCCTGTATTATTTTTCTATTCTGCGTCGTCGTAACAATCGTGCGAAACGTACTTTTACTAATTTATTTTTACGTCAGGAAGATAAAAATGGTTAAATAAAACTTTATTTCTCATCGGGAAATGCTTACGCTACTTCTGCTGTAATTTCTCCTTTATATGACCAGAATTGTTTTTTTAAATACACGTAGTTTTAAAACATTTAGTTTAATATTCGAAATTTTTAGTTTAATATTCGAAATAATTTTACAACCTTCTTTAATAAATAAAGTGTTGCAAAAAAGGAGAAAGATGTTTGAAAGTATGGAAGACAGCAGTAGTGTTAATACTGACGATTACACTGCACATATTTATGCATTTATTAATTTATGATAACTCATCAATAGCATTACACAAGCAGTATTATAAAGGGAAATATCTCGTTAATGATACTGCGCAATCGATATAATTGTTACAAGATATTTCGTTCACGAAAGCGAAAACAATTAAATGTTAAATAATTATGTAATTAATAATTACTTAATAATTATTTATTTTTAATTAATTATTATTTGTTCAGGATGTTCAAATAGTACTCATAAAGACAAGCAAATACGTAGATTCAAGAATTATTAATTTCGGAGTCATTACATTTTTTTTTACTTTATGCCTAATATAACTCTATACATAATAGATCTTATGGCGTTTTAGTTACCCAATCTGAAAGAAATATAACTATGTAAATAAGCACGTATAATATAAGCTTTCTGGAAAAAATATAACTATATAAATAAGCACATGTATCAACGTCATTCACTAGTCATATTCAGAAGAATGTATTTCGTTGCTTTAATATTACAGCCTTGCACTAAAAATTATAAGTTATATTTAACATATCATAATTATATTAAAAATTATATTAAATATATTAAAAATTATAATTATAAGTTATATTTCTTATCAAGCAATAACAGAAATGCCGGAGATCTTGCGTGTGAGGACATTTAGAAGTGTGTGTACAAAATGTACAAAAGACATAGTTTATACGCTACAAATATACCTTAGCGACAAAAACATCTCATAACTCCGAAATTAATGGTTTCTGAATTCATGTTTATAAAGACTATTTTGCTCGTTTTGATCATTGCTACACGTTCCTGAAATGTGGCACGAACTTTTTTTATAGTTCACGTTTGAGTATTTTAGTAACTTAGATTAAAAAGACAAAAACTAAGCAACGAATCACCTTTTTTTGGGGACAAAATTATTCTATTAATCATTAATTCGAAACTCAAATTTTGTAACGTTTCAAAATTTTCGAAATTTAAAATACTAATTTTATTTCGTAGAAGGAATTCTTTGTTTTAAGAATTGCTTTATATCAATTTTTATTGGTTACAGTTAAATAAAATACAAGAACAAAAACACAACATGCAGAAATATTTAATCCAGATTTTTGTTTAAGAACTAACATTCCAATTCCTGGTTCTAATCTATTTCTTTTTTCTATCGACGATAGTGCCGGATATATTGAAAAACTTTTCAATGTATATCGTTAATGATGGTGTAATAAGATACACCCGTCCCTCAATTTACGCGAATAAAAATCTAAAAAAGTTTTAGAAATACACGTGTACATATTTGTTTCACATAACTTAACAAAAAAATAAGTAAGACAGAAAACAGAAGTATGTAAGTTTTATTCGATGTCACTATCACTACTGTAATTCAAAACAATAAGCCTTTTCTTTTTAATTTTAATTTATTGAGATAAACTCATCATCTTCATCGTTTGAAATATTTGGAAGTTCGTTTTCATTTTCATTGTGAATGTAAATTTTTCTCAATATTTTCTGTTACTAAGTTTTCATAAATTTGCTGATATTCGCTGCAACATTTCATTAAATTTTCACGAAATTTTAAGGCTCGTCGAATGTTTGGATCAATGTCTATAATGGCATATTCCAATTTTTTGGCTAACTCAAGAGCTTTACAAAGATTTACCGCAGTGAATAAATCTGTTTCTTCGTTGTCACTGATACATACATCATGAGATTGGGTTTCTGATATGATATTTATTAATTCAGTATTTCGGTTAATTCACGATCTGCTAGTAAATCATTAATGTCACACTCGTTTAAATTGGCAAAGCATCCTGTTTCAACCTCTTGTGATAAAGTAATAAAACTGTCAATTTTAAAACTTATAAGAAAATATGTATGTATATACATATCTGACATCGCGTAAATCAATTCCGCGTATAAAAAGTTCCACGTTGAGGTAAATTTGCCGTATAAAACAAATACTCGCGTAAATTGAGGGACGGGTGTATTTTTTTAATAATTTCTTTAGATTTGAATATTTTACATTATTGTTCTAGAATTACGATTGATCGCACATTTGCTTATATCCTTAAAAACAAAAATCGATCGTTCACGATGTACATATCTTGCACCGAACATTCGAAATACAAATGAATTAGATTTCTTCATTCACAAAAAAAAGAATACAAAGTTTTGACATTTGAATACTAATCTTCATTAATACATTCTAATAATCTCTATTAATATACTCACCAGACTTGATAGTAGACTCCCTTTTTATCGCTCTCTCTCTCTCTCTCTCTCTCTCTCTCTTCGGTTTTACTTACTCACGGTGAGTCTGAATTTGCCTCGTTTTGTTTAAATTTGTTGTTCGGCGCTAAGCAATTTTATATGTTGAGCAATCGATCACTACTGTTAGAAGATCAATTTCCTTCGCTGCGATCGATCTCTCTGCGTTGACTGTTTCCATTTTCATTTCATTTGGAATCTATTCTGCCGAGCTACCATTCCAGCTTATCGACCACCACTACCTAGCAAATCTAGTTCAACTTCATGCTCTTGGTGGGAGAATTAGAAGATCGTATGACTTGCAGAAAAAAATTTCACGGCTGATCGTTGGCTTCAAAAAATTAATAAAACAATAATCGTAATAGACTCGAAGATCAGTTATCTAAATACAATACGATTTAAATGCAATAGCTTTGATATAGGATGCTCACATTAATTACTGACATTAATATTTCGATGCTAAATATTTAAATTGCTACAATGTTGCAAACAAAGAATCATACAATAATAAATTTGGGTCCGTTTCAAATCTTTAAAATGCATAATTCATTTTGTTTTAAGATCTTTACATCACTTACCGTGTGAGAAAATGAGGACGCTTTTTTTTTCTTGAAAATTCCATAAATTGTTCATTGAAAAATTATTTTTAGTGATTGAATCTACAATAGATTTAAAGATTGAAGTTCGACTTGCTATCCTGATTAGTCCGTTGTTCTTCAAGAGAAAAATCAGGAAAAAGATTAAGCCTTATTGGCTCATTATAATTGTAATTAAAAAAACAGCAATTTATTTCTTTACATAACATTCTTCAATTCATTTGCATATACGTAATTACATTACATACGTAAACTTGTCAAGGATTTATAATCAATTTATAATTGGTGTTTATATAATAGATGTTCAAGTTCAAATTGATGGATTCAAGCAGGAAAAGTTTATTTATCCAGGTACTGACTGAAATTTCAATCAGAGGTCCAAATTTCAATAATGTATGTACAAGGTGGCCACTGAAAGACTGAATAATATTAAACAAAAGTAACTTTTAACACGTGTTTTTTTTTTAGTTTTTTATTACTCTATTTGGATATATAATTAATGGATTTTATAATTTTATAATTTTATAACCTACATAAGAAAAAAGATAAAAAAGATTGAAAACGAACAAGTTACGACTTTTTCAAATCTTTTAGTTCTTCAGTGGTCATTCGGTACATTAATATATTCTGTACATGTATTCTTTTTTCCACTTTATAGTTACAAATTTTAAAATCACGTAAATATATGTAATAGCGAAACATCATGTGACGCATGTATACAAAAAGAAAGACCAAAGATCTCTAAAATTGAGGGTCTTTTCATATTAACATCAACGTATAAAAAATATTTTAATCTCTTTTTTTACATTTTCTAGAGATATATGGTATTTTAGATGCGTTGCGAGAAGTGATAGATGCTATTTAACATTTGGTTTATGGCTATTGTGCCACAACGGTTTTAAGAAACCTTTCGACGATTATAGTCGATTTAAGTCGATTATAAATTTAAGACTATAAATTCCAAATCGGATCGGGATATCTTTATGTATATATTAAGTATTCTTATACTTTCATTTTAATCAATTTTGTGTATTTTTATATGTTCTACGTGATTTTAATGATATTAAATATATTTAAGTAATTTTATGTTGTGTACTCTGAGAAACTTTATTTATTAATCTAGCGATTTGCTCGTGATTTTTTTTTTTTTTTTTTATAGAAAACATGAATTTAAAATTATCGAAGGGTGAATGGAAAAAAGCCCTCAGGCTGAATTAGTTGTTCTCCTGTTACAAACAGATGCCAAAACAAAAATCTATTATACAGTAGTTTGAACAAGAGGAAGGCAAGCCGCAGGAGATTTCTAACAATACGAACGTTAGAATTAGCACTATCATGAGTATTATTAGTACTATATACTATACACGATTTATTCATGATGTGAGTGCAGAAATGTGAACTATAGTTTAGGACATTATTCATTGAAGGATTGTTAGATAGGTGTTGCTCGAAAAATTTCCCTTTTTCTTTTATTGCATATTTGTCTATAAACTTGACCTTATAATCAATAAATTGCTATCTTTATATATATATATATATAAAATTTGTATAAATATATATTATAATTTATTTAATATATATTATATAAATATAATATAATATAATATACATATAATATATATAATATAAACATAAATATAATATAAATATAATATATACAATATATAATATAAATATAATATATATAGTGTGGAATTGGAAGGTTTCGTATGCGAGATAAATATAACGAAAATAAAAATGTATTTTAATTATTGCGATTCACGGTCTATGCCGTAGTATGCTAATTGCTGCATTGGATTCCTGGCTCTAACTGACACAATCTGCATTTTATAGGCAAATATATATATAAGGTAGCCACTGTAAAACTGAAAGGTTTGAAAATGTCGTAACTTATTCGTTTTCAATTCTTTTCATTTTCTTTTTTTCAGTTTTGCACACATAATACTAAAAAAAATCCATTAATTATATTTCCAAATAAAATAATAAAAAATTAAAAAACATGTGTTTGTAAAAGTTATATTTGTTCATTATCATATCATTCAGTCTATCAGACTACCTTGTCTTTCAGTGGTCACACTTTCAAAATTAATTATTCCTATACGATCATACCAGGTAGACGATCATGTACAGCGTTGTTTTGCAACTCGTCGTGTTATAACCGATTTGGTAATAACCAGTATGCCTGCTATACCATTAATATGCCAGTATTTTACTGTTTTTCATAACTTCATGCTTTATCAGCTACTAAAAAATTAAATTAAAGAATGTAAATTTCATGAAACAGAAGAAAGTTTATAATACAATGAATAGCACAAACTTTCATTTGTATATTTTACAAATATCATTCAAATTTCCGAAAACGCAACATTGTCCAGAATCTACAAAAATACTTTAAACAATTTACAATTCTGGACAATGTTGCATTTTCGGAAATTTAGCTTTAATGTTACATCGATATCGCAGCAGTGTCGAGCAGTGATCAATTAATCATTTCTGCAATCAATTACTAAACATATTTAATCGTATTATCGTAATCATTAATCACTTTTTCATTATTGAAATAAATAAATAAATAAATAAATCTTGATTAGCTTTTCTAATTTGTAATCATTAATCAGTCGGTTAATTTTCAAAATTAATTATTCCTGTTGGAATATATCGATGAATGATGTAAGTTGTGTGAGTGTGATTGTCTCT